GGGAGACAAGAAGTACATTCACTCGAGTCAATCTTGTAGATTAATCAATCCTGTAGATTGGGTCTTAAAAGGACTAATAGTTGCACCTTTTGCAGCGTGTATATTCACTCAAATCAATCCTGTAGATTGGGTCTTAAAAGGACTAATAATTATAATTTTTGTAGCATATACATACCATGTACTCTTTTCCTCACTAGGTTTTTCCCAATGGGTTTTTCTATTGTGGTTTTTAACGAGACACGAGTATGATATAGTAATGTCAATTGGGGTGTTGCAAATATATAAATACTTAAATAGACGAACCCCGAAATCCTGAAGATTATGCCCTGAAGGCTTATGGTTGTACTCTTTTTCCCTTAACTAAGTTTTCCCACGAGGTTTTATAAGTTAAGGTTTTTAATGAGGCAACTCGTACCATATATGATTTTGTAAATATCATGTACTCTTTTCTTCAACTAGGTTTTTCCGACGTGGTTTTCCTAGTGAAGTTTTTAACGAGGCATGAATGTATTTGAATATACTATTGGTATACCTTGTACTCTTTTCTTGTTTAGGTTTTTTCCCACAGGATTTTCCTAGCAAGTTTTTAACGAGGCAAGGTCGTGGCCAAATAATGTCCAAGGGGGAGTGTTGTAAATAATATTAAGTGGACATTATTATAGTGTTTATAACACTTGTAACGGTCGGAGGTTTATGACTACACTTATGGTTTCCGTTACAATTGTACATTATATATATATGTGCTTATACCTTCTTGTAAAGTTGAGGTTTTGAATGCAAGATTAATAAAACTATCCCATTTACCTTGTCTCTTATCTTGTCTCTACTTTTCTTATTTTGTGCTGCTTGCAACTGTGTATTCACCGATTAGGAGCTAAATGACCAACGGGCGTAATCTCCCACAACATGAATGACTCTTAAAAAAAACGAATTTTGCCTTAATTGAAATTGAAAAGATGTTATTAATAATGGGCATGAGTTTGATGGAATTTAAATTGAAATACGAAAATTTTTATGTCCAAGATGAGAACAATCAACCTAAACGAGTGGAACCAACACTAAAGCGACTATTATTATCAGCAGACACATATTCAATACATACACTAATGAGTTGCGTAACAACACTTAATATTTAATTATATAAATTTAGATAGGATTAATATTTTATACTTGAGCCAAAGTTATTTTTTTTGGACTGACTACATATTAGCGCTGACTTTTAAATCATTTACAAATATATGAATTTGTGGGACTTAATATTTTGTTTGTGACTAATAAATAGAATGGTATTTGGGTTATATATACAAAAGTATAATTATATATTTGGGTTATCGTTTAAATTTTTTAGATTTTCATACTTTTCTATTCTTTTCTCTTATTATATTATTATACTATATATTTTATTTTATATATTATATATATGGTCGTACATTGCACGGGGTGCAATACTATAAAAGTGGGAGCAAACTCGCAGGACCATTTTAGAGAGAGACAGACTTTCCCTCGAAAAAAATGAAGTTAAATGGAATCATTTTTTAACACATGATCAACAATAAAATTATTTAAGTTTATTCAGTGCATCTCATGAATGGAATGTTATAATTTAATAACATAATAGTTAAATTTGTATTGAGCTAGATTTTAATATTAGAGTAGTAGACTTTATAACATGTTGGTTTGTTAGTGAAGAACCTTGGTGGCTCAACTAAAATCCCAGAAACATAATAAGCAATTCTTCAATTCCCGGGGTTTCGCAGTTGCAATAGAGATCTTAAATATCTAAAAGATCGTGCAATTCTTCAATTTTGGATGTGGTAGATACAGTCAATGAATACATGAATGAATATAATAATGCTGAAGGAAGGATGTATCTTAGTTGTGATTCAATATGTAAATCTATTCAAATATTGACATGCTAGCTGATCTGCACACACCGGAATTTTTAGGGCTTACGATGTTTTGAGAAATATTGATCACTCATTGGGATTGTGCAATGGTACAAGGATGATCATTTCAAAGTTGGCTGATCATGTTTTAGAAGCTCAAATACTGTGTGGATCAAGTGCTGGTACAAAGGTCTTAATTCCAATGATGTCCTTAACACCTTCTAATCCATGATTGCCTTTTAAGTTCCAGAGAAAACAATTTCCCATAATGTTGTCATATGCCATGTCAATAAATAAAAGCCAGGGTCAATACTGTTCAACGTGGGTTTGTTTTTGAAAAGGCCGATATTTAATCATGGTCAAATGTATGTAGCAGTGTCAAGAGTTAGTAATCCTAAGGGATTAAAAATTCTTATTTGTGATGAAAATGTAAAATCTAAAAATACGACTACAAATGTCGTATACAAAGAAGTATTCAATAATGTCTAATAAATTTCAAATAGTGGTCTATCTAATTATTTTTTTGACAATTATACTATATATATTATAATATTATTACATATTGCCGTGCACCGCACGGTGCAACTACTAGTACTTTGTAATACCAATGCAAGTAATAGCCGTCCAATTAAATAGCCTATTGATTTCCCAAGCAACATACATTGAGAAACTAAACTGCAATAATTACAATTCAAATCCTATCATATCAATATAACACTACTTTTAAATACTAGTATTTCACCTGTGCGATGCACGGACATAAAATTCTAAATATTGAATGTCTGTTAAGAAATTGATAGTAATTATTTTTGTTATTATAGTTGCATCATTACACAATATTTCGAAATTGAAAGCGTTTCTAAATTTAAAAAAACTGTTACATATATACAAAACAATGATAATATTATGATCTGACATTTAAAATCCCCAAAAAATTATAAATTATTGAAAATTTCTTTGTACACTACATTTTTTGTCGTGTTCAAACTTCAAACCAGCAGTAGAGTTTCCACATAGTAAGATTTTTAGCCCATCTGGATTACTAACCCGAGATGCTGCTACATACAACTGTCCATGGTTAAACACCGGTTTCTTTAATAGTAGTCCCACATAAGATAAAGTTTGTCCTTGACTCTTGTTTATTGTCATAGCATATGACAACATTATTGGAAATTGCTTCCTCTGAAATTTAAACCGTAGTCTCGGTCAGAAGAGGTCAATCCTAATCGTGGTATTAGTACCCTGGTGGAATTGAATTAAAGAATAAAAAAATACAAAAACCTAAGCCTTACAATTCCAAAAAATTTAAAATAATATACTAACCATTCTGCAAAGATGTAATAGAAGTTGATCCTTTAGTGGAAGTGTCAAACTCAGGCATTAACAAACGATTCAACCGTACATTGCCTTGAGTCAAGGTTGGATTAACGACACATGAATCTAAAATATGTCATAAAAAAAACTTTAAAAAAATATTATGAATGGCAGGAATTACAACATTAATTCAATAATCAAATATAGCAGCAGACGGAGTTGCTTTAGCAGGCAACTTTATTTTCCCGTGAGTATAACAAAGCGAATACTTTGGTTTTGAAGTTTCCAAAATTTGTTTGATTCTTTCTTGCATCCAAAACAGAGCACCACAATGGTCACATGAATATATTGGATCACCAAAGTACAAATATGTGCCTATATAAATTATATAAAATTTGACTTTTTTTTAAAATTGAATTAAAGAATAAAAAAAAATCCAAAAACCTAAGCCTTACAATTCCAAAAAAATTAAAATAATATACTAACCATTCGGTAAAGATTTAATAGAAGTTGATCCTTTAGTGGAAGTGTCAAACTCAGGCATTAACAAATGATTCAACCGTACATTGCCTTGAGTCAAGGTTGGATTAACGACACATGAACTTAAAATATGTCCAAAAAAAAAACTTAAAAAAAAATATTATGAATGGCAAGAATTACAACACTAATTGAACAATCAAATTATTTAATTTTAATAAACTTACCGTTTATGATGTTTTTAAACGGCTGACAAATAATATCTTGATTCACATTCGGTATTTACATGTTTGTCTGTTCGCATGTTGTTGAATTTGTATTAGAACATACCATGATTATAAAATAATAATAACTTTAAAGAGTAATTAGAAATTTTTAAAATATAATATTTTACAAACCAGAACATTGTAGCGGTATTTAACCATGCTATAATATGAATATTACCAAACCAATTGAATAAATTTTTGAATGTTTAACGAAAAATGAAATTAACAAATTAAGAACAATTCACCAATACCGTCACTGTGCTATATGAGGTATCCAGTGAACTACGAACAGGTCTAAATACATGTTTCTTATTCGTTGTTGCAGTGTTTTGGAATGTCAAAATAGATCTTGAAGTGCTTGACAACTGTAAGTTTTCATTACCTTGGGAAAAACATTAAGAAAAAGCAATCCTTATATATTAAAAAAAATAACTAAATTTTGTACCAAAAAAATATAAATCAGTAAATTTATTTACCACCAATTCGACTGCTGGACGGGGTGTTGAATTGTTATAATAGTATTGACATGTCATGATTTCTATAGTTGATATGATTCTTTTTATCCAGATGATTATTCATATTGCTGATTGTTTTTGAATATTGTCATCTTCTGCCATATTAAATTAATAATTAACACTGATTAACAAATTTCCACCAAATTCATGCTTTAATTGTAAAAACAAATTTCAAATAATGAAATTAAAATAATACTTTAATTACATTTGGTGGATTTTTAAAAAATAAAAATATTAATAGTCTCTGGCCAAATGGAATGAGCTATACACTCCGATCTCCGACAGTGTCTACTAATTCCTAAGCTTTAAGGACTTCTGTAGTGTAGCTTAGCCGGAATATGTATACATCTCAATGTTACTGAGATGAGATGGAGGACGTGTGTGGTTCTAGAAACCATGCTTCTTCATCCCTTCCGTTCTACACTTTCATTTGCTTCTTCTTTGATTTCTCAAACACATTTATGGGTCAGAGCTTCTACAATCCATTTATGTGTAATTCTAGAAGATTGAACACCGCTTCGAATTTGAGTTTCCTTTTTGTTTGATTGATCTGAAATTTTCAAGATACAAATCTCTAAGTGGTCGGAGCTTCTACAATCCAAGTGCTGTCTGGGATATCTACGAAAAGCTAAGTGTGGATTCTTCCATTTTGATTTGGGTTTTTACGATTTCTTACAGTTGCTGAGTTTAATTTCTAAGATTTCTACGAAAAGCTAATGTATTTCTTATATATTGTATGTTTAGTGAAGACCGATCCAGTGCATGTAAGATCTGAGTACAGATCTGGTTTTTTTGTGCGCAAATGTGTAGTGAAGATCGATCCAAACCCGACCCATTAGAGATGTGCGCAAATGTGAGATCTGTTGTGTCTTTTACATTCCACCACAGACCCCTCTTGCCATATCGATGAGCTAGCATTCTCTCATCTCTTCTGACCTTCTCTCTAACACTGTCCTAAAAAAAATTGTCCGATCGTAGACTGGTACCAAGAAAAGTCTTTTAGTATTCCAGCTTTGCAATTAATTTGTCTTTCTTATATATGAATTTTACTTTAATATATGTAGCCAATGCTAACCATTTATTTGCAGGAAATGGCATATGATGAAATCTTATTCTGATGCCCATGTATCACATTATGGCCGAGCTATAGTTGAATGTAGTTCTGTATCCAATACCTAGCAGTTGTTTGCAGAAAATGACATGTGATGAATTCTGATTCTGATGCCCGTCTAGCTTTAATTTAGTTGTATAGTTCACTGTTGACTTGTATTAATTTAAATTTGTTTGGTGGTAGCTACAATCTTTGTTTGTAAGTCATCAATTTTTGTTGTTATTAAACTGTTTTTGGTTATTTGTATTACTATTTACTCAATAGATGCCCAAAAAAATACTCTTAAATTTGAATTAATTTTAGACAGCTGAATGTACTGCTCAAACTGATTTCATTCCAAAAAGTACTTATTAGTTAGGTATTTCCTCTTTAAACTGGAGCTTGTTTTTTTTGGAATAAAACAATTACTTAGGTATTTCCTTTCTTTCTTAAAAAATGAATATGGAACCTTTGATTTTAAAATCAACAATTTTTATCAATTTATTTATTTCTAAGGCCAAAATTGTGTTAGCTGTAAGGCAGTTCATATGTTTAAGAACACATAGTTATCTCAAATGACTGTTAATACTGTATTATTTTTGAATTTGCAATATCATGCTAATCTTTTTGCCTTAAAACTATTTTTCGTATATCTATATATATGTTTTTATGTTCTAATTAAGGCTATTTTACCTTTGAAACTTACTATCAATTGAGTGCCAGTTTAAGATATTTCATAAGTACTGTCCCAAATACATGAGAAGCCAGACACAGCTGGCTGCAAACATAGAGTTTAACACCTAATTTTTTTCAGTTAAGAATTGATTTTTTTTTTAAAATTTAATTGAGTTAAGTATTTCCAAAAATTGTAAGGCTTCATTGTGCATTTTAATATAGTGATTATTTCAAAGCTGTCATAACCAATGTGAATGTTGATGAGAATCCTTACACAGCTGGCTGAAGACAAAGTCCCCTTGAAAGGTAATTTTTTGCAATCAAGTATTTTGATTTTACCATATAAAATCACTGAAGTATTTGAAGCTAATTTTTTCTTCTATTTGTTAGTAGGCCATTCAATTTTGGATTGAAAATATATCAACCTTAACCGTATATAACACTGTTAAAGTTTCAAAAAATCCAGAGACATGACAATGGTTGTGTGAAGGTATACACTATAAATGAAGACAGATATTTGAAAGGTAAGTATTTTCCCATTCTTGTTGATGTAGAAACAATTGACATTTACAAAGTAAAAAGGACTTAAGATTACAAATTCCTACAAATTGATACCCTGACCTATATCTAATTCCAATTCTATGTGTATATAGAATTGTATTTAAAACTTCTTAGTGATCCTCATTCTTCAATGTGTAATGTGTCATGAGCATTTATAAAACCTGCATTAGACAATAGATAACAAACATAGAAGAATACACAATAAAAAAAACATAGAATAAGATAGTTAAAACAACCAAGATATCAATTGAACTCTTAAGTCATGGACTTAGATTTCAATTAAATAATTAGACAATTTTCAAAGTCCAAATTCATGAAATTTAATTAAAAAAAAACCCAAAAGTCCATGTCCAGAAAACCATAAAAGTTGCAGAATGTCACAACATTAGAACAACAGCATTTACTAAGGGCTTACAGAATAGCCCTGTAGACACTTAAATTTTGATAAATATTGATTATTTGTCAATATTAATATATTTGAAATATTTTGGATAATATTGATATTATCTAATTTGTTAATTAGATAATATCAAAAGAGTTTGAGCTTATCAAAACTCTCTATCCTACAACTATAAATAGGGCCTTTCATTTCTATGTAATCACACACATCCTAAGAAAAATTATAGAAAGAACTCTGAAGTTTATTCAGAGATCACAATAAAAATGTGATCCTGAAAGTAAAAGTCTTTCCTCCTCCATATGTTGATGCATGTTGATCCAAACCTCTATTGAAGATCAAGCCATTTGAACCCAGAGGCCCTTCAAGAAGAACAAGCTATATATACAAGCCCTTCTTTGAAGATCAAGCCACTTGAAACCCGGAGGCCCTTCAATGGTGGAGTGTTCAAGACATCAAATTGAAAAATCAGAGGACATCTAGAGATCTTGTACCCACACCCCATTGATATTTGACATGTAATCAGAATTTTGAATATTACTATATTATAATTCAATTTTCTTTGTTCACAAGCCCTTAGTAAACCACATTAAAACAACACAGTAACTCTGTTCAAATTTTCTCTTGCTTGATCGCAATAGCTTTACATTTTTTTGCATCCTGAGTAGATGAGAATTGGTACATCAAATTTCTCTTGGTTGAACCTGGAGATATCTGTTCATCAGTATTTGCCCTCATAGGTTTTTAAATTTGCTGAACAGCAGGACTACTGGCCTTATCAGAACTAACTCCAGATCTATAATCCTGATTTTTAAAAAATTAGATTTTTAAAAACAATCAAACCAAACAGAAAACAAAGTGTATAATAGGTCAGTTACATACATTTGGGTCATCATCATCTTCTTCTTGAGCAATTGGTTTTGATAGCTCATCCTTCTCATCTGTTAGGGTACAGTGTGCTTCGACCAAATCTTCATCCTGAGTTATGGTAGGACATCATCAACATGGGAGTCCTCTATTGCTGAGCATAGATAGCAAAATCCATACATTTTGACGTTTTTATCCTCTATTGCTGCTTGGATTTAAATGTTTTACAGTTCTAAAAAACAAATTTGACTGCATCATAACTTCAATGTGTTATGCTCATATGGTATGCTTACATTCTTTTGAATGTACTGCAAAGATAGTCACATGGAAAGCAGAGCTCAAATAATCATTAAAGAAAAAAAAGACTTCTCTACCACAGAAGATAATCACACTGTGAAAAATGGCTTTCAGGTATGAATCCAAGCCCAAATTGTTTTAGTTGTTTTTGCTGGATTTTTGCTCACAGAATGCAAGGTTGTGCAATCCATAATGACTATATGCAGGAGACCACCTTCATTGGAACAACCTGTGGAAGATGAAAGCCAAATGGTTTTCAAATAGTTGATAATGTGGCCCATCAGCAAATCCTGGCTTCTATGTTCTTAACATAGGAGTAAAGACTGTGGAGAACTAAATGAAACCACACCAAAAAACACAAAACTACAGAAAGCAAGTATATTTCTAGCTCCCTTCATTTTGTGTTTCCATTTAATCTATAATATATATATATATATATATATATATATATATATATATATATATATATATCAAGCAGGTTTAGCCTATTATTCAATCATTTTTAAAAATCTAATTACACTCAATTAGATTTTTTCCATATCTATGGAATCCAGTTTAGCCTTCTTAACATTAACACCTTCACTGTGACTTCATCCCCTGACAATTGAATATTTAAAAAAGTTTTTACATATATATATATATATATATATATATATATATATATATATATATATATATATATATATATATATATATATATATATATATAGAGAGAGAGAGAGAGAGAGAGAGAGAGAGAGAGAGGCACATACATACATCAAGGTCTCTGGTAAGTAAATTAACACTACGTAAGTCCATATTAATTTTATTCATAAAACATAGACAAAAAGACCTGGAAAACTGGTGTTAGTATGATAAAAAAAAAACAAAAACAAAATTGGAATTTTTTTTACCTCATCGAGAAATAAACATTCTTTACTTTTGATGATTTCGCCTTCTCTAACTTCTGTTATCTAACTCTTTTTGCAGAGTAATACGTATTATGCGAAAGTTTTTCAGGGTTGCAATTGTTGATCTGAGTCGACTTCTTTATATAGAAGAAGACTTAAATCAGGACTCGAGAAACGAAGAGTCCTTTGGAACAATAGATCATAATGATTATGTTATTTCAAATGTTATTTCAAAATTTTGTATTCACATTACTCAGATGAAATTTGTAATTTACAGCCTATTTTTCGATTTCCCAGGTTATTGGAATTATGCGTGCATGCCTTGGCTCGGGGCTTTCAAAACCATTAATTCAGCCGTCCAAATAGATAATTAACCAAAGCTAAACCTGATCAGTGGCTTTAAAGCAATGTGTTTAAAAAAATAATAATATGAAGGTTAAACACACAATGATCAAAACGATGATCAAAACGACATAGTTTTAAGTTGGTGGAAAAATGAAGCAATTTGATTGGCCATAGCTATATGACTTTAATATATAGAAGGATCAGAATATTACAAATCAGAATAACACTACTTTTAAATATTGATTTAAATATAAGAGCATCCACATTTGTTGGGGAGAATAGGGGGATAATGTAAGAGTGATTAGGAAAGAGAAGATGGGAAGGGAGAGAAAAAAAAGGAAAAATAATTTTATTTTTTTTAAAAAAAGAAAAACTGTCGGCGCGCCTGACGCGCCTGACGAGCGCGTGCACTGCACGCGCCCGTCAGGCGCTATGGTGACAGCCACGCGTGGCTGTCACCTGTGATCCTTTATTTTTATTTTTGTGGTGGGTCCCACCATTTCTGAAATAACTCTTCATTTGCAGGAGAGTTATTTCACAAATAATTCTTCCTCACATTAGCTATTATCTTGAGTGGGAAGAATTAATTCTGAAATATCTTCTTATTATCCACAAATGTGGATGCTCTAAAGGATAATTCAAGATTCAAGACAAGAGTGCTGAAACGGTATGATGGTTTAATTTTAATACTCCCAATACGTCTTTTGAACTTTCCATTCTTCAATAGCAGATTTTAATGACTTCAAAGGCTCTGTTTGGCAAACCTAGCTGAAAAGCTATAAGCTAGGAGCTGATAGCTGAAAAGGAGCTGAAAGCTGAAAAGCTATAAGCTCGGAGCTGAAAATTGAAGAGCTGTTAAGCTAGCTGTTATGATTGAAAGTGTTTGGTAAAATTAGCTTTTTGATAAGCTGATAAATGTAAAAAGACTAAAAAAGACATCTTCATAAAATTTAAATTAGTTTGTTTACATATTAAAATTTAACATTTCGTCTTCCAAAAAAAGTAAACACTTTTTAAAATAAAACTATTAGCATGATCATGATCTAGCATCGCATAATGAAGTAGCAATATTGTTGCGAATCTCCTTCATCTCCATAGAGGTGTGACTTAAATTTTCGTTGATGGAGATATTACTACTTGAATCTTGAAGTTCATCGGGCGGTATGTAATCTGGAAGCTGCTCAAGCACATTAAACATCATGTCATCTTGTGAATTCTTCCGAATATAATTATGTAGTGCAAATGTGGCCATAATAACATCAATTTGGGTCTCCTCACTAAACTGCAGCATTTTAGCAAGTATCTTCTATCTCTTATTCAATACTTCAAACGATCTCTCAATACAACTCCGAAGAGAATAATGTGCACGATTGAATGCTTCTTGAGCATTAGTTGGCGGCTCTTGTTCAAATTGAGATTGAAGCCATATTGCTAATTTAAAAATAACATTAATAATAATAGTAATAATAATAATAATAATAAGCTAAAGTTTCAACATAATTGTTTAGCAGGAAACAAGACTAAGGAAAGGATTGACGTGAAAGTTAGGATAGGGGAAGAGAAAGGGTTTTAATTCATAAGGTTAAAATATGTCATTACTTTAAAATAATAAGGGTAAAGATGGAAAAAAAGTTAGGAAGCTAGTAGCTTATTTTGAAAAGCTACCTAAAGTAGCGTTCTAAAATAAGCTCTTATTTTAAGCTAGGAGCTTATTTTGGGAACATTACCAAACAGAGCTTATAGCTTATTAGTAGCTTAAAATAAGCTATAAGCTCCTAGCTTAGCGTTGCCAAACAGAGCCAAAGTCTATATAAACCTTCTTGGTCTCAAACTATTTCACTGCCAGATTATCTACAAAGTATTGTGTACCATTTGTGAATCAATCTTTCAACATGCTTTCTCGATATGTATCTGTAAAAGAGATAAGACATCTACACACTATGAGAGCAATAAGAGTTAGGGCAATTAGGGTATATGAAGTCTCAGAAAAAGAGATAAGACCTCTACACACTATGAGAGCAATAAGAGTTAGGGCTATTAGGGTATATGAAGTCTCGGAGGTTAGAGGGAGTCATACAAGCAAGAGTTTTGAATGTTTATTCCATGATGCTGAGGTAAATCTCTGTTTCTTTTTTTTCTTTTCTTTTTTCCTACTGTGTTTATCTTTCTCATCTAACTACCTGTATTTCCAGAGAGAATATATCC